CCTCGTCCTCCGCGTCCTCCGTTACACCGCCACTCACCGCGACATCTTCTCCTGCCTCAAGTTCTTCGACTGGGCCGGCCGCCAACCGAACTTCCACCATACGCGCGCCACCTTCGTTGCCATCTTCAACATCCTCGTGCGCGCCGACCACAAACCCATTGTCCTCGAATTCCTCGATGGCTTCCGCCGCGGCGTCTTCCTCCACAACGTCCGTTTCCACGACATCCTTGTCGTGGGCTATGCTATCGCCAGGAAGCCTCAAAACGCGCTCCATGCGTACGCCCAAATGCGCTTCATCGGCTTGGACCTCGACTCCTTCTCTTATCACGTCCTTTTAGACTCCCTCGTTGAGAAAAACTACCTCAACGCTTTTGACATCATTCTGAGGCAAATTCGTGCCAGGGGTTTTGAGAATCACGCTACCAATATCATTGTTGTTAAGCATTTGTGCAAAGAGAGAAGGTTGGAGGAGACTGAGGGTTTTCTCAACGATTTGGTGCGTCGTGGGGAGGGGTTAAAAGGGCCTGAAGTGAGTTTTTTGGTTGGCGCTCTGTGTGAGTGTTTTAGGTTTGAGCGTGCGGTTGAGTTGGTTAAGCGATTCGGGAGCTCGGGGTTGGTTCCATTGGATCATGCTTATGGGGCTTGGGTAAAGGGTCTTGTTCGAGGTGGTAGGGTGAATGAAGCATTGGAGTTTTTCTCTCAGAAGAAGGATTCTGAAGGGTATTGTATGTCCTCTTCTAGGTATAATGTTTTGATTTATAGGCTTTTGCGGGAGAATCGGCTTCAACAGGTGTATGATTTGTTGGTGGATATGAATGAAAGTTGCATTCCCCCTGACGTGGCTACCATGAATGCTGTTCTGTGCTTTTTTTGCAAAGTGGGGATGGCTGATGTTGCGTGGGAGTTGTACAGTTCTCGGTCTGAGTTTGGTCTGTCTCTCAATCACTTGGCATGCAAGTATTTGATACTTACTTTGTGTTGGGATGGAGGTGTTGTGGAGGCGTACAACGTTGTCAAAAGCTTGGTTGGCAAGAGTTATTTTCCTGATGAGCAGACATTTCGCACGCTTGCGAGTGCATTGTGTAGGGAGTGCAAGATTGATGAGATGATAGAGTTGATGCATCTTTCTGTCGGGCGG